ATTTGTCAAGAAAAAATATTTGCCGATTAATTTTGGTAATTGCGATAAAACACATGTAATCATGAACGAAATGCTTGGTTTATTTTCAATGTCCTATTCAGTTGCCCTATGCATGACTAACATGCATACAACGTTTACCTACGAGAGTCGGGGCCCATCTGCAAGAACGATCTTAGCGCTATGACTATTGTAAGTTCTATGTTAAAGTATAAATGAATGACAATAGTTGATGTGCTACGATCGTTTTGTGCAAGTGGGCCCAGCTAATAGCAGGTCTTCGTTCCACGTAACGATCTTAAGGCTATGACTTGAAAGCCCGCACTCCAACATATACACACAAGAAAGCCGGAAAATTTAGATCGCGTTGGGAATCGAGGACTTGGGCCGTGAATCTCGAAACACGTCCAACGTAAGAGCCTTGTTTGACTCCCGTTTTAAGAAAAACACACATTTGAAAACATGCATTCCTTTTAACATCCTATTTCATATCCAACTATAACAGGTGACATCACAGTAACTACGCGATTTGCACTAGTTTCTTGTTTTATGCTGATGTAAGCAATATTCCAGCTATATAGCGACGACCGGACAAACCAGTGGCTGATATTATGAGCAACGATCCACGCAGTCGATCCATTAAGTTACCTCGTATATGACACTCATAGGTAGCTGGGGACCAATTCTAAACTGGGATCCCCACGGAGCTTGTATATGACTTTTTTGTTGTTTTTGTTTGTTTGTTGTTTAACGCCGCTCTCAGCAGTATTTCAGCTATTTGACGGCGGGCTGTTAAAAATCGAGTCTGGACCAGATAATCCAGTGATTGGCATTATGAACATCGATCCCCGCATTTGGGATTCAATGACATACATCAACCAAGTCAGCAAGCCTGACCACCCGATCCCGTTAGTTGCCTCTTACGACAAGCATAGTCGCCTCTTACGACAAGCATAGTCGCCTCTTACGATAAGCATAGTCGCCTTTTACGGTAAGCATGGGTTGCTGAAAACCTATTCTTCCCCGGATCTTCACGGGTCAGCTTGTATGTAATGAAGATTGAGTATAAAGCGTTGAAGTTGATAATTATCATCATCCATCTGACGCTCAATGACTAAGTGAAAAATACATTCATACGAAGGCAAGATGGGTTTATCCTGTGAGAGGATTTATCACATAGACATCAGGATGTGATGGTTCTACCAGCTACATGGGCTTGATGGACGCCGAGTGACCTTGCTTCTGGTCAAGGAAGACATACAAGCTTCAAGAACAAATTACCGTAACTCATTGAAAAAACGTCTTTCAATAAGTATGTTTGACGTATATGTCCCTGTATAGGTACTAGTAGATGGGGGGAAACTAGCGTTGACAGACGATATTGAATGCAGACACTTGACCTTGTCTTGAGACTGGGGTTCTGTACACCTGGTAAATAGCTAACTACTCCTTACTAAACTGCGGGACTAAAGAAAGTGTTAATTGAAAATTAGATTTGACAACACATTAGAAACGTTATCAAAACTTTACAAGGCTGAAAAGAGTCGCCGAAACATTGCATGCAAACTCCAAAACACAGAAACGATACTCGTAGCAATACACCCCCATCGCAAAACCATTCCTCGTTTGTTTCGCTTTTAGAATTCATCGTACATAGGTGTATACTTTCTTTTGCCCGGCAGGGTATATATTTCCATAATCGTCTCATGTATTAATTTTCGGGAGAAACATTCTCGTATAATACACAATCGATCATCTGTATGTGATGACATGTTTTATAACTGTGCCATGGCTATAGCTTCCATATACTTCCCTTACAATAACTTACAAAAACATATATGACCCATTGCTTGCGACCACCTGGAGAAATACATACAACGTTCCTGTGTCAACATTTTTCGCAGGTATATCGGTGCTATCCCAAAATGAGACACATGTCATATGTAGATAGTTCCAAATGATGCAGGTAAGTTCGGTATATGTGAAAAATAGAAGGAATGGTACTTAACTTTTTTCCACGTGTATATTTAGAAGAGACGTAAGCAACCGAATTAAAAAACGCTTAATGGTCTTATAAAGAGGGGATTTACTTCTCAATATAGGGCACCAGGATGATTCAATACGTTAAATATACCCTGCAATAAACAACGTCACAGACATGCTTATAGTATAACAATGACACTAATGACTGGGCCTACGAGTCTCAGGCGACGATGAAATATATTGACCTTTGCTGGCAAGGTTGTCGTCTGCCGACTTTCTACTCCCACTGATGAAATATGGCGTCTGTGTAAAGGCATAGACGCCAATGGGAGAAGAAAAGGGAGTGAGTGTGCGTGCATGCGTGCATGCGTGCATGCGTGTAGTGTTACGCCGCGAACAAGCAATTTTACGGCAGGGGACACCAGAAATGGTCTTTACACATTGTACCCATGTTGGGGAATACAAATAGATGCCGATGAGAAAGGAAATAGACGCCAATGAGAAAGGAAATAGACGCCAGTGGGAAGAAATACCGAAGAGAAAACATATGAGGCAGGGGATAGGATTAGACGCCAATTGGAAAAGGATTAGACCCTAAATTGAAGAAGAAATAGACGCCAAGAGGAAGATACATGTAAGGCCCAAGACGTGAATGTTGAAAGACGTTGGTGAGAAGAAAGATCAAGGCCTTCACATGAACGTTCTTTGAGAACGATACAGTTGGAACATGGCAGCCCTGGTGTAGATACTACAGATGAAGAAATGCCATTACAATACTAGACCATTATAGTATATGCACTCTGTTTACACGTGTAACGCACCCGTGAAGATCCGGGATAGAATAGGTCTTCAGCAACCCATGCTTGTCATGATGGCGAATGTGCTTGTCGGAAGAGGCGACTAACGGGGTCGGGTGGTCAGGCTCGCTGACTTGGTTGATGCATGTCATCGTATCCCAATTGCGTGGATCGATGCTCTTGATACCAATCACCGGATTGTCTGGTCCACATTCGATTATTTACAGACCGCCGTCCTATAGCTGGAATATTGCGGCGTTAAACAAAGAACAAACAAAAACACGAGTAACGCCAGCAGTATTAGCAATTCCGTCTTTTTCTCTGGAGACATGTTTCTTCATATGTTGCACATCGTAATGGGTCTTATACATTCGAATATATGAAAAGAGTTGCCACGAGTAGTGAGATTTACTTTGGATTGGGTCATTTAGCCCCAATATGATTATAAATTCGTATTATATACTAAGATCGGAGGGAGCAGACACCAGCAAGAGAGCACTGTACCAAGTGACCAGGAGTCACGTCCCTTACATGTACCAGGATTTCATGTTCGTGGGTTCAAATTAGAGATTGTTCAAGATTACAATCCTTGATCTGTCAACAGCATACCCGTCCTGCAGTGGGTTTCGTCCATGTGCTCACGTGTTTAGTGTTATATGACTATATGTAAAACGTCAACCAAAGACAATAATCAGTCTGGATTATCCGCCGAAACAGATTCCACTGGGCGTAAATGGCAAAATAGTGCAAAATATAAAATGTATCACGGAAAGTCATGATAACACCGGGTGTTCGCCACTCACATAATTTGCCTAAAATATTTTGGACCGTCATTCAACTTGAAGAATTTTTCCGCGCTTTCCGTTCAGCTCAGCTGTATATATACAAGAACTATAAACCTCTTCACTTTCATCACGTTTGCAAAATGGGAGATTGCATGGGTAATTTTTATATAAGATCTGGAGTTGATTTAAGTAATCTTTGCAAGTTTATACAAGCCACCATGTCTGCAAATGCAAATGTAATTAGGTGTATCAATCAAATAATAAGTAATATTCTAATGATAGTTTATTATAAATATATGTATACATCACTTTCACAGTATACATCTTGACTTACTTTGTAGGGGCGGTCGGGTAGCCTATTGGTTAAAGCGTTCGCTCGTCACACCGGTTCGATTCCCGACATGGGTACAATGTGTGAAGCCCATTTATGGAGTTCCCGAACGTGATATTGCTAAAAGCGGTGTAAAACCATACTTACTCACTCACTCACTCATTGACATGGAGGGGCGGTCGGGTAGCCTAGTGGTTAAAGCGTTGGCTCGTCACGCCGAAGACCCGGGTTCGATTCCCGACATGGGTACAATGTGTGAAGCCCATTTCTGGTGTCCCCCGCCGTGATATTGCTGGAATATTGCTAAAAGCGGCGTAAAACCATACTCACTCACTCACTCACTCATTGACATGGAAATACGCACCCGACCATGCAAGCACATACATACGCTAGAACGTATACATATATTGTTCACATAAACTTGTTTGTGTGGGTGCGACATATTATCATCCTATAATTAGACTGGATAAAAACAAGGAAGTTGACATAATATAAATCTCTTTATAGACATGATACCAACACGGTGTCTAATTGAGGTTCATGCATTGCCATATCTGTGTAAAATGATACCCGGTGCTGTTCAGTTCGCGTATGTATCATTGCAGTAGATCATAAACCTCCCGTGAAATGTGTGAACAAAACATTTAATAAAAACTTCAACCTTTGACTGCAAATGTTTCCCATGGGACATATCAATTCACCAACAATACAAACTTCACACCGCACATATCACATTATTCATGCCATTTTTGCAGTTTTGACATTCTACCATTGCAAACATTTCAGTAAATTATTCAGCTCAATTTCCACCTTACAGTTTCTTATACGGCAAACTGGGAAATCATTGACAGTAGACAGCGTACTGCCTATATTGGCTATAGTACGCAATCAGGGTAAACTTTGCAATTCCCCCAGTTCTGTTATTGTCGATGCTGTAGTGAGTTAGCAGGTAAATTCGCACAATAAGTACTGTTACTGAGAGAGATAATCATTCTCAGATGCACAGATCGTAATGTTCCCGTTCAGGTCAAATAATACAAGTGACCCGCAATGTTGTGTTTTGACAGGAGTTAAAACCGGAAGTACACAATCAATCACGTGACAAAGATGGCGGACAGTGGCGATGAGGGGAGCTTGCCCTCCCCTTCAGACGATACAATTCCAACCGCTGTTTACGGTCCTCGAATAGTACATATAACAAAGACAGAAACAGGCTTCGGCTTTAATGTTAGAGGACAAATTAGCGAAGGAGGGGTGTTGAAATCTATTGCCGGAGTACTCTATGCACCCCTCCAACATGTGAGTGCTGTTTTAGAAGGAGGGGCAGCCCAGAAGGCTGGGATACGAAAAGGAGACCGCATCTTGGAAGTGTGAGTGTCACTTTCTCGTGGTTAATTACTCCTTTAACACCTGTGTTTTTAACTTTAGTTGAATATATGACACATTGTGTATGTTGACAGCTTCTTGTTCGGTTATGACGGTAATGATAATGTTATGCGGGTAGTTGATCTAGAATTTGACAGCTGACGCTGGCGTTTATGTTTTGTTAAACGTATTTTCCATTTAAGGTTGCTGAGAATGTTAAGTGTGAATGTCATAAGGTTATTTTGAATCACTGTTTTCAAGTGTGTCAGTGTGTCGACATGACAGAACGGAAGACAGACGGATCTTGTGTACACATGGGTAGCGTGAACGTTTTTCTTATTCTCAATCAAAAGTATTTGCTTTCTTAATGAAATCAAGTTGTTTTACTATATGCTTTGTTCATGTTGTCAAGGTATGATACATATCTAGGTAATAAGGTTGCGTTATATTGAAATCAAGACTTGTCAGGTTATGTCCATACTCCCACACCAAAGAATGACAGAAGATCACTTACACTGACAATGGCTTTTAAACTTTGTCCGTACTGTCTGAAAATAGTATTTTTACAATGAATTTGAATTCATACAATGATATAACATTGTATGCCCTACCACCACACCAACACTCACACACGCATGTACTTATTATAACAACTTATTCTCATACATGAGCTAATGACACCATACATGACTCTTATTGACAATGTATTGCGATGCACTAATCTTCAGTCAATCGTTACACCCCTAATGCAAACATGATCATAGCACATTGTTTCACTTTCTTCTGCACCTGTTAAGGTCTTTAGTTTCTTCTCTTTTGCTGTTTTATTTTTATCTTTAATGCATTCTATGAACAATAAAATACAACATGACGTTATTCATAATGTTCCAACAGCAAATGGCATACTTCTTCAATTATTGCATGTCTTATTGTTTACATCTACAAACTATTTAGATTTCTTCCCCCAAACCAGATTAAAGCCTGTCTCTATATATTGGTCCTGTTATATGGCTATCAGCCATCTATGCAAAGCCATAACATTTGCTGCAGTATTAATGCAGAATATGAACGTCTTGAGTATGTCTAGATAAGCCCTGTCTGATAAATTGATAATGTCTGATAATTGGTATATATAAAGTTTTCTGAATGGATATCCACATGTATCTTTAAGCAAGGTGTATTTTAGATCAACATGAAATGAAGAAGTTTTGTTTTGTTTTGTATTTTATTTCCATTGTCACATCATGTACATAATACTATTGTTTTATTATTGCTATTTTTGATAGTGTAGCCTGTCATCAAAGTTAAGTTTTGATTTTAACTTGTCATGGGAGTATTGCCGTCAGGCCATGGACAGTTGTGATGCATGGGGAGTCCGAAACACCCTCACTATGGAGTACAAATCAGGAATCAATTGATTGTCAGACAAGTCAGTAGTAGTGTGGTGGTGTTACGCTATGGTGATACAGTATTGTATCCTGATATGAGGCCCATGATACAATACATCGATTTACAACCCATCACAATACATACATCACAGTACATTACAAGTTATATTGATGTAAAATATGTGAATAATAACAGAAATTGTTCATCAACCAGCTTGCGCAAATCATCACATATTTCATGGTTGGTTATAAGAATAACATTCACAGTGCCCTCTTCCCTATTTGTTCTACCCTACAATATCCCATCTTTGATCTCTGAACATTAAAAACAAATGATTCAGGGCTTGGGGTTCACCTGCAAAAAGAATGAATATCCACTTATGAAATACAAAATACTATACAAATCATATCGTACCCATAGTATACGGATAATGTCGTATTGCAAACCCACCTTATCATTAGAATTTTTCGTTTCAGCAGTGCCCAACATAAACTGTGTTTTTTAAGTGATAACTTCTGTTCACTAGAGGAGCAGTTGGTGACTCTATTGCCAAGCCTGAGCCTAGTAAAGTTATGTTTGGTCAAGTACACTATGCTAATAATATTCCATATGTTAACAAAATCAACTGAACATGATGCTTAAGTTCAAGCTGGTACACTCAAAATAATAACCTTTGTGTCATCTTCAGGCTAAGAAAAATGATAAACATTCACCGAGTAGGTGATAATAGTACTTATGTGTTGCTCATTCATAAGCCTAAGCCATAATGTGAACTTTGAACATTTTGAAGTCATTGGACTCTACATATAGCATGGGCTCCATCTTGCTATGTGGTATCAATTATCAAATATAATATCAGATATCACAAATTCAAACTGTTGTCTTGTGGATTGCTAGTTGTAGGGAATTAACTTGTAGGTACGTTCCCAGCATGTGGCACCTTCGTTAATCTCCTGGTGTTATCGCTGGTATCATTGCTGCCACCAGTGTGCAAGCAAACATAACAAGAGTCTTCTAAACAATTTCCAGGGTTCCAAATATTTTTGAGCCATTGGGTATTTAATTAAAATTTTTTATTCAAATTGAGTATTGATAGTTTTCTTTAGGTATTCAATATATTTTACTTGGGGTCCAGTCTATTGTGTATCGATACACCAATGAACAGACAAATGTTTAAATGATTTTATTTAAATGCTGTTTCAGGTGACTTCTAATTTTGTATCTGACCGTGTGCTGCCCCATGTTTGTAACATGTCACGAAAACCCACAACAGCCATAAAGATGTCTAATTAACTAGTAATTAATAAGCAAGACGTATTGCCTTATTTATGCATTATTCATAACAGTAACCTAGGGTTCATGTTTGTATGATCCCTGCAATCGATCAGTAAATAAAGATCGGTAATGAAATATAGGTATGCAAAGTGCTGTTATACTGTTGTTTTGTTTTTTAAAATTTCATGCATATTTGTAAGCAAACAAATCAAAATTTATTGGGTAACTGTTTATGGTTTGTATATTCTTAACAAATACCAACCTTATCTGGAGCTCTGATGTCTGTCTAGTCTGTCTAGTCTGTCCTCCAGGGGCGGTCAGGTAGCCTTATGGTTAAAGCGTTCACTCGTCACGGCGAAGACCCGTGTTAGATTCCCGACATGGGTACAATGTGTGAAGCCCATTTCTGGTGTTCCCTGCCGTGACATTGCTGGAATATTGCTAAACATGGCGTAAAACCAAACTCAAATTGATCACAAAACAAAAGTCTTTCAAACCTAATACTGGTTGTAGAATACATTAGAAAAGGAAAATCATGTGGCAAGTCTAGATTGCCTCAGCTCTCAAAAAGAATTGTTCTGGGCGCCATTCGGATTCTATTTTTTTATTTTGTAGATATATGGTTTTAAATAATATTTTTAGGGCCAAATCATAGTAAATGTTTATCTCCTCTAAACCCATATATATTTGTGTATTTGGGTATGCCTGCAGGAATGTCATAATACTGAATTGGGATAAAATTTACAACTGACTTACTAATTCCCAGATCAATTTACTTTTATTTGTTTAATCAGATTGGTTTAAGTTTGCAGACTAATGGAAAAGCACCCATCTGTCATCGTAGATTGTCAATAAACTAATTACATGATACATGTAGTTGAAATTAAATTAAACTTAAATTTGACAAACAATCAAAACAATTTAGCAGGAGGAAGAGTATTCGGCGTCATGAAAGTCATCACTTGTTTCACTGTCGTTTTTGTAAACAACTGTTGTTTGGTTGTAAGTTCAACTCCATGCTTGGTTGCAGGCCAGCTAGCACAGTTTGGAGCTGTGGCTGTTGGGGAGTGATAGTGTAGTGAGCTCTTCAAATGGGCTATCACTTTGAGGAGCTTGGTCATATGTTATGTCAGATAATATTTATTAACATCTTTTGAATGGATATGCTAATGTTTCTTCAAACAGTGTCAAACAAGGTATATTTTTTACGGTGGAAGGGGGCGGGTACAAATATTAGTATCTTTTAATTTTTGATACGTTAGATTTATCAACTGGACTTACTCTTGATTGTGTAAACTTAATTTTACCCCTGTTTTTGCAAATTACACAGGCGGCTCCCAGCTATGTCCCAGTCTCATTAGAATATCTCCAAATGTCCTCTCTGGTGTATCTTAACTAGAGGCCGGAGGTGTGACAACATATTCGTAATCGGGTATATGATGGAGGCATTGTTTCAGTTTAGGCCAGACAGGTCAAGGGTCCTTATAGAGATACTGGTGCAAGTGTTAAGAATGGAAATAACTAGATATCCTTGAAATTGTTATTTATTGCTAATAGTATCGTGATGCTGTTGGTAGAGTCACTTGGTGTCATATGTTGGCACATTGTTCTTTCAAACAGGATTTTATATATATATATATATATATATATGGATTTTACAAGAATATTGAGACCTTGATAGCTTCCCATGTACCTTTTGACAAAGATCTTAGTATATTGAATTTCCAAACTGGCATAATAATGTTGATTAATCTTCTTTACCATGTTTAGAGAACTTATAATGCATGTTGTAAGTCACTGCTTAACATGAAATTTTGTTCATTGAATATTGAGCATAAAGATTTGATTAAGCCCACAGAGTTCAGAGTTAGTGCAGAAGTAAATCGGATTTATCTATTATATCAAACACTTTCTGTCAGAAATGTTATATGATGGCTAATGAAGATGATTATCATTTTTGGATATGTCCTACTGATTCAGACTGCTGTATCAAATTTACCCCCTAAACTATCATCTTCACCCATTTAGAGAGAAATTATTTATGTTATTACAAGAAAATTATCTTTCAATACAACAGAATTTTGCAATATTTCTAAAGAGGAATTTTCATTCACTGTGTCATTTAAATCTGTTGTTGTTATTAATGTTGCATACTATAGCATATGTGCTCAAAATATTTGTGTATAACATAAATGCCATATTACGTGCCTCTGCTCCCAGTAGTGCCTTCCTGACAAACTTCTTGACAACTTAAAGTAATCTTTATAATCATCCCATACGAAGACCGAACTTCATATCACAGTCTGCATTTTCATGTGTATACCACAGACCCAACAGAAAG